AATGTGAGTTTTCTCCAGAATGGTACAGTAGAAATGCTTGATTCTTTGTGTGGTAATAGTGCGGGTGATGTAGAATCTAGAAATGATGTCCTTATGCTGCAAATATTAAGAAAAGTGTTTTTATTAAACTTGAAAGTTCATAATTAATCCAGCATTGGAGTCACATTTGTAATGTGAGTTTTCTCCAGAACGATACAGTAGAAATGCTTGATTCTTTGTGTGGTAATAGTGCGGGTGATGTAGAATCTAGAAATGATGTCCTTATGCTGCAAATATTAAGAAAAGTGTTTTTATTAGGCTTGAAAGTTCCTAATTAATCCAGCATTGGAGTTAAGGTATTTTATTTTGAAAATCGTAAGCTTTGGCCCGTTTCAATACCTTTACCGTAAATGTAAGTATATAGAGTAATTAGGCGCACTTGAAATTCTAGCGCGGCTGGCTTGACCACGGAAAACTGAACGGCGGCTGATTTGACCGCAGTGACTTATTCTACCTGCTGTCATGTCTCAAAACATGACGTTACTTCAGCTTTCACTTTTCCAGAGTTCAGACATGACAAATCCCTGGACCTCTACGAACAATTTGAGTCCTGGCTGCAAGATGTTCCTCTGCTCCGTGCTGACACAGTGAACCCATGGTAAAGGTTAGTTAGCTGTTAGCATGCTAATGCCTATTTACCTTTAGGGACTGAATGCCATCACGATTTTTGTCAACGCTTAAGATCATGAATTTAGTTTATCCCACAGTATGTGTCAGTTAGTCATTTTTGCCATTACGTTAGTGGAAAAACCCGACTGCCATAATGCCCATGTTCATGTAAAACTGTGGTTTTAGTGTATGTTAGTATGTTACTGTTCGGTACCGAACAATTTTAACATTAAGCAACAGGCTGCACCATATTGAGATATAGTATGTTTTAATGTTGTACTGACATCACATATATTTTTTCTGCTGGCTAAGTATGGCTAGTATGTATACTGTAGGTAATCCCGTTTCAGAGAAATGACTGAGCCAGCAACAAAAACCAGTGCAAACATTGGAGTGTTGACTATATTGTTGTTTTGTCTTTTGTCATAAGAATGCAGAAACTATGACAACGCTTCATTAGAATTTTTGATTTACCTTTGTTTCAGGAAAGCAAATGTCCCAAATCTGTCCATTTTAGAAAAAAAGAACCTCTTGGGGTGTAGTACTGTACTGTTCTTACATTTGTGTACCCGTGTCTGCTGATTGGGTGACCTCTCTATGTGGAGTTCAGTTCAGTGACTACAGTAGAGTTTACAATAAGTGTACCAGCAAATAACAAATGTACATGACCCACAGTCTAATTAAATCTAACCGTAATGATGAGTAAAGTCAAAAACATATGGGAGTTACAAAGAGAATCTGAAGTGTACAGTTTTTCTTCTCTTGTTCACTCTTCTGTGTGCAGTAGCTTTAGGTCTGTGGTAGTACTTTACCTTACCAGACGTGCAGTCAATATTTGAAACACAAATTTGCATAGATCAACCAGTAAAGGTCCTTGTGTTAATACTTTAAGGTGAATTGAGATGTTATATTGCTGGATGTGTTGTACACCATCATCACTGCAGACAGAGGAGGACTCTCCATGCTGATTGAACAAGCATGTTGAAAGGCAGCATCTCCAGTAGACAGGGGCACGTACGACCTCAGGCAACAGACAAACAAGTATGTCAAATGGCAAAAAAGTGTATACAACAATTTTATGTATGATCATGTATATGTGACATCAGTACAACATAAAAATATATCTTGTATATATCTTCTGCTCTATGCCTTATGCCAGTGATCACGTGACAGTCATGTCAATGTTGTAAAGTTTTCACTTTGTAATTTCTTGAATTTTTAACCTTTTAAAGCATATTCTCACAGACAAAATACACACTGCATATTTTATATATGATTTGGCCTATACAAAAGTTTATGAAAACAGTTTTGTGTACAACTTGTTAATTTGTGCACAGCCATAGTCTAATGTGCATGCATATTATTGCCGGCTGTCTTACCTCCTATTTTTCCATTTCAACCACAGAGCCTACCAATCAGACACAGCTTGCACTGCATTTGTTCATCACAGGTATCCGCTTTCAATCCTGCCTCCCATGGTCACAAACAGGAATCAACAGGTTGTATATAATTGTTTTAGAAAGCCTATCAGTGCTTGTTAATTATTAGTTATTGTACCGTACTGGCATTGCCAGCCATCACTAAAGTCAGTTTATTGGAGAGGGAATTTTAACAACTTGAGTGTTTGATTCAGTTATACATAATTTGCAGTTTGGCACTGAATACAAAATTGTTTTGCCATGACACCCTCATTTGTGGTTTTTGATCATGCAGCTCCAGCTTTTTTACCAGTTGTCCTTCTTGCATCATTTGACTGTAGATTTTCTAACAAGCAGAAGAGGGCAGCATTGCTCTTTTATGCAAATCTCACAAAGTGCAGCGTATCCTCTGAAGAATGCAGTAGCATGTCTTGTTCATGTCTTGTTGTGTCTGTGATTGTGGGACGATGTGATAGTGATATGGTTGTACATGTGTGCTACTGGCTGTAAAGCAGATGCCCCCTTGGGGATAAATAAAGTTACCTTACCTCTTCCTGCGCCTCTTGTCCTAACATCAGTTCTGTTTATATACCCTTCATGTTCTTGGTATTCAGTTTTTTTTTACTTTAATGTGTCATCTATTTATAGTGAAATTGCCTTTAAGGAAAAGACCAGCAGCTGTGAACAGCCTGCAGTGATGAGGATTGATTTCTGCATGCGTGCCAAAGCCAACACTACTAGACATATCTCTGCCAGATGGACATGACAGACTATCGCCTCTACATAGCTGATGTCCAGACTCTTCAGAAACACACAGTCTGCATAGGCAGTGCAGGGAAAGTTATGAATGAACAACCATGTAGATGATTGTTGATAGAGACTGAAATTCAGTAGATCTGTTCAGGATTTTGAATTTGTTTTGTTGTGTTGTGTTGCACACTATGAGCTCTGAAGCTGCATTATTAGCCAGTATAGAGTTCCTCTGTGCTGCTCTGTAAGTTTCACACTGATGGATAATGGAGCAGCCTGTTTGAATTCACTTGAGCTGCATCATTTCTTTACTCCTGTTATTGATGCACTCTGTCACACACTTCTCTAAGCCAAAGGAAGCTGTAGCACATTGTGATGGCCAAGAGTGTGTTTTTTTTTTTTTTACATAGATTTTTCTTTCCCTGAAAGAAAGAAATCTTGTGGGAACATTTAATCAGCATGCTTCAGGTGATTAACTGTGATAGGTGGAAGTCAGCTCCTGCCTGTGAGGTTCTCCATTGCGTGTATTTGTGGCTGAAATCCCATTCAGTGCTCTATAATTTTCCCCACTGCAGCAAGACGCTTTTATTATTGCTTTTGGGCTTGGAAGCAGCCTTCGCTTCATAATGCATTAAAACAGGCCTGTTGGCTCTATTTTGCTGTATTTTGACATTGAGGTTCTTGTTTTCATTTTTTTCTTCACAACAACAATGAATGCAGTTTTATAGTCTTAAGGTCTACAACATAAGATGCCTTTTAGTGGCTCAATAGCCACTCGCACTACCAAACGGATGATTATATTTCCATTTAAAAGACCAATACACTTTATAAATGCTAGAAAAAGTCTGTGCCACATAATAAATTAGAAGGAAATAATAGTTAAAGCCACATATACTGTGGCAGAATATAAGAAGAACAAAACCCCACTGATCATTTTCAGAGTATAGATTCAAATGAAAAATCAAATAGTTGTTTCAACCCACAGATAATCTTCTGAATGGTAGCAGAACAAAAACAACCTGTTTTTTTTTTAAGTTCCTTAAAATCTGTGAAGTGTTTTCAATGCGTCAGCAGTGAACATGTACTAAAAACAAAACCTTAAAATTTGTATGAAAAATTATCAAATGATACAAGTAGATAACATGGTCAGAGGGTGTTAGTATGAGTATGTGTATCACTAGCTACAGTGCCTTGCGAAAGTATTCGGCCCCCTTGAACTTTGCGACCTTTTGCCACATTTCAGGCTTCAAACATAAAGATATAAAACTGTAATTTTTTGTGAAGAATCAACAACAAGTGGGACACAATCATGAAGTGGAACGAAATTTATTGGATATGTCAAACTTTTTTAACAAATAAAAAAACTGAAAAATTGGGCGTGCAAAATTATTCAACCCCCTTAAGTTAATACGTTGTAGCGCCACCTTTTGCTGCGATTACAGCTGTAAGTCACTTGGGGTATGTCTCTATCAGTTTTGCACATCGAGAGACTGAAATTTTTGCCCATGCCTCCTTGCAAAACAGCTCGAGCTCAGTGAGGTTGGATGGAGAGCGTTTGTGAACAGCAGTTGTCAGTTCTTTCCACAGATTCTCGATTGGATTCAGGTCTGGACTTTGACTTGGCCATTCTAACACCTGGATATGTTTAGTTGTGAACCATTCCATTGTAGATTTTGCTTTATGTTTTGGATCATTGTCTTGTTGGAAGACAAATCTCCGTCCCAGTCTCAGGTCTTTTGCAGACTCCATCAGGTTTCCTTCCAGAATGGTCCTGTATTTGGCTCCATCCATCTTCCCATCAATTTTAACCATCTTCCCGGTCCCTGCTGAAGAAAAGCAGGCCCAAAACATGATGCTGCCACCACCATGTTTGACAGTGGGGATGGTGTGTTCAGGGTGATCAGCTGTGTTTCTTTTACGCCAAACATAACGTTTTGCATTGTTGCCAAAAAGTTCGATTTTGGTTTCATCTGACCAGAGCACCTTCTTCCACATGTTTGGTGTGTCTCCCAGGTGGCTTGTGGCAAACTTTAAACGACACTTTTTATGGATATCTTTAAGAAATGGCTTTCTTCTTGCCACTCTTCCATAAAGGCCAGATTTGTGCAGTATACGACTGATTGTTGTCCTATGGACAGAGTCTCCCACCTCAGCTGTAGATCTCTGCAGTTCATCCAGAGTGATCATGGGCCTCTTGGCTGCATCTCTGATCAGTCTTCTCCTTGTATGAGCTGAAAGTTTAGAGGGACGGCCAGGTCTTGGTAGATTTGCAGTGGTCTGATACTCCTTCCATTTCAATATTATCGCTTGCACAGTGCTCCTTGGGATGTTTAAAGCTTGGGAAATCTTTTTGTATCCAAATCCGGCTTTAAACTTCTCCACAACAGTATCTCGGACCTGCCTGGTGTGTTCCTTGTTCTTCATGATGCTCTCTGCGCTTTAAACAGACCTCTGAGACTATCACAGTGCAGGTGCATTTATACGGAGACTTGATTACACACAGGTGGATTCTATTTATCATCATTAGTCATTTAGGTCAACATTGGATCATTCAGAGATCCTCACTGAACTTCTGGAGAGAGTTTGCTGCACTGAAAGTAAAGGGGCTGAATAATTTTAAGCCTGAAATGTGGAAAAAGGTCGCAAAGTTCAAGGGGGCCGAATACTTTCGCAAGGCACTGTATTTTAATTATTTACATTTACAGTTCAAGCTAAGAAAGCCTGCCTCCCTTCAACAGTGGCGAGGAGGGTGGGTACAGTGGCCAGAAATTACGGTATTACGACATCTTCTGTCAAAAAGCAAAATCAGGCCTCTATCAGTCACTGAGTCCTGAGATGTCTCTAGCAAGACCATTACTCATGAAGGAAAGCATCCACTTCTCTGGGGCATGGTGTTATCATTCACTTCAAACTCTGGCCTCCAGGACCTCACAGAAAAGCTTGGCTCAGGTAGTTTCTCAGGAGTCTTCTGATTCTCTGTATGTATTAGCATCATATCCAGAAGCAATCATCAGATCTGCTGACTCCACAAAACATCTGCCAAAATAATTTCAAATCCATGACCTATTTCACTGTTGACATCAGATTGTGGAAGTACTTCTCTACAATAGAACCTGCTCAGATACAAGGCAACTAAAAGACTCTACAGTCTGACTTTACACTTCTTTATATCTTTGTGTGTTGGACCAGATATAAACTGTCTGAATAGCAGCCCTGCTATAGATAGCAGTTCTGTGAAGCTCATGAGGTGAAAGTTTTGCTGACTCATATACGCGCTGATTCACCGGTAGCCTCTGAGAAGGCGATCCTGTCATCAGCGACAACAATACTGCAAGGACTGTTTATCACTTTTGATGTGAAACAACAGTCTTTCTGTACTGATGCAAACATGTGGCTTGAGTTGTTGGTTTCACATTTGACACTCAGTTTTCTTGTCATTCTATAAAGCCTAGGAAAATAGTAATGTTTTCTGTGCCTCTAGAGGAAGCTTCACCAAGTTTGAGGAAATAACCTAAATGGTGTAATAGTGATGTCATCAGGGTAATCTCGGACTGAGCTCAGAGACACATTTATAACAGAAACTCTAACTGGTAGGTGTCTTGACCGTGTGCTACATAAGTGAAGGCAGCAATACGTAGCATCTTTTCCTTTGATTTTTGACCATTTATTATAGAATCTGACTGGTGAGTCACTGAGTTTACTAAAGTGCAAAGCAATTTCTGGACTGCTTTTAAAAACGTTGCAGTTTTAGTTACTGTTTCCTCAAATCAGACTCTGACTTTTAGATTTCTTTGAATTTTCACACATTAACCTGGTTGTTTTGAAAAAAGTAACTGGCATTTATCTTAGCAAGGTCTATGTGCAAATTACTTTGTGATTTAGTTTTTTTTTTTTTTTACCAGTCTGGTATCCTGTAGTAAAGTGGAAATTAATTAGGGTGTTTTTTAAACTGGGGGTTTACAGAATAAGTGGCTGCTGTACTAGTGTGAGACATCGGTTTAGCTCCTTGTTTTGGATTCTGTTACCTGGTTGCAGTCCAGCTGTTTACACCATCAAAGCAGCAACACTGTGGCCACCTCTCCATATCAGGCTCCACAACAGTCGAGTCTGGACTCTGCTTCAAATGAAAAGCAAGGACAAATATGGTAGAATGAGCGACTGATGAAGGAGAAATTATAGAACAAAATGAATGGTCCTCGGGTCATATTGCATACTAATTTTATGCCCATCTAGCATATGTTCACATGAGCTGAACCCCCTCAGCTGTGGGAACAAAACCCAAAGTCTGCAGTTGAAATTACCACTGATTACTAATTCTGTTTTTGCTGTGCTGATAAAAAATGACATGTCTCATGCCACTGTGGGATTATTATCAGAATGAAATGGTCTCATGCAAAGTTAGCTGTCTGGTTTCTCTAAGGCATTATTTCAGCATGCTTTTATCTTGTCTGTGTGTTGCGAAATAACTGTGATGCATAGAACATAAAACTTTCTCATTATTCTGTGAGGAAAGAAAATCTCTTGTTTGCACTGAATATTTAGTAAACCTTGTAAAGACATAGGTTACTATGTGCATCAGCATGATCCTCACACCAACTGACATGTTAACATGAAGCACACTCCTGAGATGACCTGTCACAGCCTATTAAAATGCCACCCTGTCTTTTCACTACTTGCTGGAACTATGCTTCAAGAGGCAGAAAATTCATCTGCCCACCTTAAAAAAAAAAAGTGACCTGTCAGGGCAGGAAATAAATCCCTCTGGGACAGGCGCCTCGCCTGCTCCCCTAACGTCTCACTCCTCTCTCTCCACTCTTTGTGGAGCTGTCAGTCTGCTTGCCTTTCTGTCTGAGAAGAGGCTTTGTTCTGGGTGTCTTGTTAGACGGTCAGAGTGAAAGAAAAGGATGGTGGCTCTCTTTCCACTCGCGCAGTATGGATGGCTCAAGCAGGGATGAGGGGGTTGTAAAATGAATGACAGAATGAGGGAGCACTGCACTGGGAGCAACAACTGTCCTCAACTGTCGGCATCTAAAATACCTCTCTAAATGGAGGGTTTGCTCCAAAATGCAACATCTACACTCTTGTTGACAGCCTGACAGCTGCTCTTACAATACAATTTGGGAGGTCTTTTTTTTCCTTTGGTGACAAGAGTAGAGGACAAAGAGTTGTCTTTGGTTTCCTTCAGCCTGTTTAGGAGCTCTTCCATGACTCCCTCTGAATCAACGGCTTGGTGAGCCTCTGCTGTGACTCTCCTCTGCTGTCCCCTGCTTACAGGAGCTCAGAGTAGGTCAGTGGAAAGTGAGGACATGCAGCACAGCTGTGGTGGCCTTACCAGGCATCAAACAGGTCATTACTGGTGCATGAGAAAAGGGGCCGCTGTCACAGTGGGATGCTAAGGTTTCTTATGTTGGCTCTTGAAGAATGCATTAAAAAAATGGTTGTCGCAGTTACAGAAGTTGATTCACTGTCACATTGTCATTGTTTAGTAAAAGATGTTCATTCAATCATGACCTTGACACAAACCAGTGTTCTAGCCCATATATATATACAATGTTTATTACATTGTATAGAGTAACTAAAATAAAATAAAATAATTGAAAGTCAAATTTATAAA